TTCAAATTTATATTTTATTCAAAAATAAAATCATTATTGATTTTTTAAAATATATAAAATCGTATTATAACATCGACATTGACAAATAATAAATAATAACATTAAAATCGAGATATGTCTCGCTGCATTGCGCGAGTACTCTTCTAGTATGTTATGGTCCGTTTGGTTAATGTCGAGGAATTGAAATATGAATGAAAATGAAAATGACAGGGAATGAAAATGAGAATGAATTTTCATTTTTCTCAGTTTAACCAGGAATGAAATTCTGGGCTTCTGGATGAACAAGTCAATTATATTATAGAAAACTAAACAGTTTCTTTTACTTTCATTCTCATTGATTATTGTTTAATACCTCTAACCAAACATCAACTTAGTTTTTTTAATATCTAAACTGGTATGTTTATCCTTAATATATGATTATCCTAATTATATTTTAGTTTTAAGTAATATGCATCAATAAACAGTAATTTTATGCATAAAAAAAGTATTTAAGAGTTTTTATCAAATGTTGTATAACGTAGTACAGATACAGAGGGTAATCGCGCACATCACGAAATACATCTCGATTTTAATATTTTGTTTTATTCTTAGTGCGGTTTTATCTGGTTTTGAGAAAATAATGATATAGTTCCACTATAAAAAATGACGTATTGACGTTGAAGACTGTTTGGAACACAACGAGCTTTTTGTGTTTGTAAACACCTTTTACACACATAAAGTGACATGCCATAAGGCTTTAGAATGACAATGGTTGTTTCCACGTGGTAACAACTAACAACATGCACAATTGAATTCGACCAAAATAGTCCGCCCAAACCAAGTTTCTATAACCGATTGGCCGATTTCAAGTCGTTAACCAATCATTTTGGCCGAACATCGTTAATAAATAGTCTTATGTGGCATTATATGTTTTGGCAAAAAAAAACATATAATTTATTTAATTATTTGAGGTAAGATTCGTCTTTTAATATATAACATGCAATTTTAATATATACATAATATTTTCAAAATACTTTATATTAACATAAAATATAAAAAGGATACAATTTATGTTGGTGTGATTATGGCTTATTTATCGTTGCAGCTTATTCACTCAATCGATGGCTAATTCGGTAAGCTAATAGATCATGTCATTTGTTCTCGCCATTAAATTCTCCCAACTACATATGTTAAATTAAAACCTTGTTTTTAAACTCTTCACTCATTTCTCCATCGACGCACACATCAATCTTGTCCATAGATTCTCCACCATCCATCCCATGCATGTCGATTTTTCTCTTTGTTGATTTTTTATATATCAATTTCAAGTATATCGATTTCCCCAACAAGATTGTGTTGATAAGAGAGCTAGAATGTTTATCGATAGTTATGGTTGGAACTAAGCATGGCAACAAGGCATCGGGGCGGGGATGAGGCGGGTTTTGTAATCCCCGGTCCCCGACGGGTACGGGGATTAACATCCCATCTTCATTCAAACTTCTATCAATCTCAGGTCAAACCCCAGTAAATCCACGGTCAAACCCCATGAATAATATCCCTTAGTTTGATTCTACCGGGGATTCCCGACCCCCGCCCTGACCCCGATTTGAGTCTACCGTGGATCCCCGTCCCCGGGACCCATTTTAGCGGGGAATTCATGTCCCCGTCTGGGTCGGGTGAACCAGGTTCCTCACCGAGTCCGGGGAAAATCGTCATCCCTATGTGGAACTACATGTTTCTTTGCAACTCATGTACAAAAAGGATACCAGTTTTGGATTATCGATTTCTAATTCCCCATGAAATATGTTCGTCAGAGTGACGACGATGATCGAGGGAAGATACAAAACTTATTGAAAATCTTGAAATTTATGATTCTGAAATATGTGGAGAAAATGATATGAATTATAGGCTAGGGTTTTGAAGAAGAGTCAATGATTATAATCATTTTAATATATATATATATATATATATATATTTATTCTTCTCCAAACTTTAATTACCCTATTCATGAATCATTGGATGTCGTAGAGATTGAAAATTAAATTTATTTGATTCCCGTAAAAACAAATTAATATTTTTCCAGATTAAACGACATTGTACCTAGTTTAAATTGATTTTTTTATAATTAAATCTTATTTATTTAACATTTTTATCAAATAAGGGGCTGTTTGTTTGGCTCTTAATGGTGACATTAAGAGCCAACCTCTTAATCGGTAAGAGGTAAGGAGTGTTTGTCAAAAAAAATCAAGCCTCTTAATGGTTACATAACCCTCTTAACCATTTTGCATCCAATGGTTCACTAAACCATTCAGACTTTTATTTTTCCAAGTTTACCCTTCCCACCCCTTCTTCCCACCCCTCTCTTCACGCACGTCGCTTCTATTCCACAGTCGCCTTCCCCGTCTCCGGTAGCCGGTAGCCTCCACCATCTCCGTCCCCGTCTCAGGTAGTGACCGGAAAATAGCCTGTGAGACTCTCGCCGATGAGCCAGGGGATCCTGATATTCCGGATAACTCACATATACATATACCCTCTCTCTATATCTATACATCTCTGCCTAACTCTATCTACAACCATGAAAACCAAAGGAAAGTACCCCATTGCCTTCAAACCCATCCTCCTCATCACCTTCTTCCTCCTGCTTTTTCTTCTGGTAATCTTCCTCATATCATCTTCTTCATCTCCATCTCCTCAATCTACCAAAATACACTCAGATGCAGACTTACGAATCAACCCATCATCTTGCCTTCCACAACAACACACATAAATGGCTTCCGATCAAACATGCAACAAGATCTCGCTAGCGATAGCTGAAGCCCTCGTCCACTACGCCACTTCCAACATAACCCCACAACAGACCTACAAGGAGATCTCCGTCAGCCTCCGAGTCCTCACCAAGAAATCCCCTTGCAATTTCTTGGTTTTCAGGTTGGGATACGACAGTCCGATGTGGGCCAACCTCAACCACGGCGGCCGGACTGTGTTTCTTGAAGAAGACAAGTCATTAATCGATCTAGTTGATAATTGCTCTGTTTGTTGTTAATTTAGGTCGTACAAGTGTTTAAGGCATCCCTAATGTGAACAAGGGTTAAAATGATAATTTACTGTCATTCAGAGAATAATTACCAAACAACATTATTTATTCAGCACCTAACCATTATGACCCTCTTAACTATTTTGACCACTTAACCATTCTGCACCAAACCATTCTGCCCCTGCCAAACAGCCCCTAATTGTTTTATTGGGGAAAAAATAAAAGGTAAAATGATCATTTATGATAGTTAGACTGTTTATTCAATATAACAACAGAACAATTTATCTGCAACATACAAACAACTTTATCTATATCTATATTATATTATAAAACATTTGACAAAAACTATTAAAAACCATTTTTATGTACGAAATATGTTTATTGATGCATATTACTTAGAATTCAAGATCATATTATGCTTAAGTACAATTCATTAAAGTTTAATGTTTGAATTCATGTAACTAACTTAAAACATAATCAAATAAAGAATAAACATCTCATTTTAAATATAAAAAACTAAAATGTAATTAGGATATCATTGAGTTATAACAAAATACTTAATTGTTATCTTTATAAAAAATTATAATATTAAACCAAAAATAAAAAAATGAATTAAAGAAATACACAAAAAAGGGGAAATTTTAAATAGTTAGTTTGGTACTAATATCAATATGTTTTTTTTACGATATCTTCATATTTATATTTTGTTTAAAAATAAAAACATTATTGTTTTCTCAAAACCACATAAAACCGTATTATAACATCGACTAAGACAAAAAAACAAAACACTAAAATTGAGATGTATCTTGCTCAATTGTGCGAGTACCTTTCTAGTTATATTATAAAACATTTGACGAAAACTTTTAAAAACCATTTGTATGCATGTTTATTGATGCATATTACTTAAAATTTAATGTTACAAATAAACTACGAGTAAATTTAACTTATTAAAGCTTTATGTTTGAATTCGTGTGACTAATTGCAGATAAACAGTCAAATACAGGACAAACATTTTATTTTAAATATAAAAAATTATATTATTAAATATCAATTGAATTATAATAAATAAATTGAATCAGAGAAATTACACAAACAAACAAAAACTTCGAATTAGTTAATTAATATTGATATATTTATTTTCAAAATTTTATTATATCTTCAAATTTATATTTTATTCAAAAATAAAAATTATCTTTTTCTCAAAACCATAAAAACAGAATAAAATAAAACACTAATATTGAAATATATCTCGCTGCATTTAACGAGTATACCTCTGGTTAATATATATACAACTTTACCATACATTATACAAGCATCGAAAAAACGAATTCCTTACAAAGTTAAAATGGCGTAAAATGAGCCCAAATTGGTCGTATCGGAGGCCCGATCTGCCGCAATGTAAAACCCGAGAAACAGAAGCCCAGCCCTCTACAATCAGCCGACTTCTGAATGCAAAAAGAACGCGGAGAGAAACCAACAGTGGGAAAAGAGACACCGCGAGAGATACGGTGACGACGACAACGACCACCAGCAGCCACCGGATATTCACGGCCGACCTGAAACGGAATTCTACTAGCACAGGTATCATTTCCCCCTATTCAATTATGCATTTGTTTTCTCAAATTGGGTCAAAATTGCCCGAGCAAGAACTAGGGTACAGAATCATCCAATTTCTTGTTTGTTTCTTGAATTACGAAATGTAGCTAATTTATTTAGGGTTTAATGCATGTAGCTGTAGGTAGCATGTTGTTGGAGTATATATGGAGAATCTGAACTTTTTATCAAGATGTTCTAAGTAGGGCGCTGACTTTTTTTGGTAGAAATTGATGACGATTATCTTTTGTTTGTAGTTAGGCTTTCTGTGCACTCAATCAAGAATGTTTTTGGTAAATCATTCAGAATAAAGTCAGAATAAAGTTTTTATGGTCTCCTACATATGAGTGGGGTACTTGGGAGTGTTATGAGTTATGGCTGGAAATGCAAGATTTGAATCGCCTTCAACCAGTGCTTCTGAGCCAGGGTTTTCTGGAAGTTATTCAAATGGGAAGAGGGGTGCTCATTCAGTGGCAGGGGGGCCCAATTTGGATAGGTCTGGAAGCTTCAGAGAGGGCGCTGAGAGTCGGCTGTTTAGTTCTGGGATTGCTGTCTCAAGAGGTGGAAATAGTGCAACGGTGTCATCAGGGAATTTACCCCCATTGTCTCAGTGTTTATCCTTGGAGCCGATTGTGATGGGTGACCGACAGGTTGATAGGTCAGTTGAGTTAAGGAAGGTTATGGGGCTTTTTGTTGGAAGCACAACTGAAGAGAATTCTTCTGGGGTTGCTGTTCCAGCTCACTCAAAGCCGGCACCTCCAGTGGCTGTCGCAGAGGATTTAAAGCGTTTCAGATTAAGTGTTGCGGATACATGTATCACAGCTAGGTACATTTTTACCTCCATGCACTGCATGTAAACATTATTAAAGTGAATTTTCATATAGGGTACTGACTATTAAGTATCAATCTCCCATGTCCTGTGTACAAAAAATAAGCGGTGTATTGTCACTATGAGAAGTCTGGATTTGTATGATACAATGCCAGTAGGATACCTTTTTCATTGGTTAATATTCTACGATGTAACTTTCTTAACAGGGGCAGGGCAAGCAAATTGGATGAACACTTGCATAAGTTGGATAAATACTGTGATGGTGTAATCTCAAAGAAACCACAGAGGAATGATTTAGTGACCAATGAGCAAGTAGGTGCTTTAAACTCGAAGATTGGAACTCAAATTTACAGAAACCCCACAGAACTTGTAAATCAGAGAGTAGAAGATCGTCCTAAGAATGTTCTTATGAACAAGCGTGTCCGTACTTCAGTTGCAGAAACAAGGGTTTGCTTCTAATATGATTTTACCACTTGTTTATTTATGGTGTATCCATAAGTTCTGGACCCAAATAGTCACTATGAAGGTTTACTCCTTGGCTAGATGGAGGGTACAAAGGGGGGAGAGAGAGAGAGAGAGGAGTATCTGATTTACGGGTGGTTTACATTTTAAAGCATTGTACCTTGCAGTTCGTTTATAAGCAATCAATATACTTGCAAAAAATGCAAAACAAATCATCAACTGGCTGAAAATAGTGAAAACTACTTTGCAGAGTTTTATTTTTTGCTATAGGCCTTACGCCACATTCAACCGGTACTTATTTATGCATCTATGTATATATATTTAGAAATTATTTTTGACGAAGAGAAGTTTAAATGACTACAACTAAATGTCAATCTACATGTCAATTCTTATATAAGTTATTTCATTGATCTACTAGAAAGCTATTAAATAGAGATGACCTGAATGGCACAATTAGGAGTCCAGCCTGAATGAGTCAACATGTTCTGTAATAAGCAACGATATGTCTGAAGAAAAACTTGATTTCCAGTTACATTCAACTCTATGTAGGACACTACCGGTAACAAACATTTCTTTTAGCAGAATGGAAACTTATGTTGTAGAACCAAAGTACTGTCATATGATATGGATACTTCCTTCTTCTGGATGTCTGTCTAAGAGCCTTTGTGACCCTTTAAGGTCTCAAAGGAGGACGACTTACACTATTTGCTACATCTTTAATGTGAGGAAAAATGAAACATCATAAATATAAACCTATACATTATTTTGGGACATTTAGAGGCATAAGTTGCTGATAAATCATGGGCGTTGCTTAATAGGAGAAGTATATCTGTACGACTATACAACCTAACTTTCACTGTTTGCTAATTCTTTTATGTGAGGAAAAATGAAATATCACAAATATAAACCTATGCATTCTTTTGGGACAATTAGGGGCATAAGTTGCTGCTCAATCATGAGAGGTGTGTTGCATATAAGAGAAGTACTATTGTTCAACTATGAAACCACTTTATTTGATAGGCTATTGCTTTTGGTAACACAACATCCATCAATTGCGTTGTTGCTTGAATTCCAGTTTTGTTTTTATCTCATCCTGTTGTCAAACCTGCATTGATGAATTTCCTAAGCACACTTAGATTTTTATATATACTGTGGAGCTCATCGTATGTTATTATCTAAATCTATTCCAGGCAGAGTTCCGGAGTAATGGTCTAAGAAGGCAGCCTGTGGCAATGGCTAAAGATCGAGATTTACTCAAGGACAATGGTGGAGAATCTGATATGTTAGAAGAGAAGATTCAAAGGTTGCCTGCAGGAGGGGAAGGGTGGGATAAGAAAATGAAAAGAAAACGTTCAGTAGGCACTGTTTTCACAAGACCTATGGATAGCAATGGAGAGCAAAAAAGGATTGTTCAAAACAAGGTTGTCAGTGAACACGGGTTGCAGTCAAATGACACCCACCCTTACAGGTAACAGATCTATTGTAGGGGTAAATATGGATTTAGGTTATACAACAGGTTTATTTACCCTGCTCAAATAACAATAAATTGTGTTGCACTTTGCATAATAAATAATTGGGTTGGATTTGATTAGTCAACTCTTGAGCCTATTGGATTTCTTTGTTCGTGGCTTGAAACATTGAATATTTGATATTCCATTTATTTTAACGACTTTGGCTACTGCCTATTTTGTTAATAAATGAAACTGTGATGACCTGATGGGTTTTAAGTCATTAATCCAGAAAAAAGATCTGTGTAGATTTCTTCCTTACGGAATTGTCTTAATGAAAATTGACATTAGTACACTGCTTTTTGAAATTTTAATTTGCTCATTTTGTTGTTGCTTCTAAACCTGGTACTGCGAGAATTTGTAGCCATATGATATAGAAATTCTCTTTGTTGGATTGGACTTCATTAATTATTGCACCATTTTGAGCTTTGCTATTTGCATCTATAAGATCATATACTTGTCTACTCTTAGGTTAGTTACTATTGTCAGAGTAAATCTTTCTGTAGTCTATTTATCATTCATGCCTGTGGAAGATGTTATAGTCCTTATAGGAACTATCTGCAGATTAGGAGCTTCAAATGGTACTGGTAGCACTAGCAAGTTGGAAGGGACATCTTTGCCTAATAGTTCACGTGCTCGCCTGTCTCCCAGAAATGAACTGGATGGGTCCTGTCTTCCCAGAGATCTTACTGCTGGATCAAATAAGGAAAGAATTCTCACAAAAGGGATCAATAAGTACGTCTATACTTGTAGTGTGATGCATTACAATAATTACGTACTGCTTTTCTTGTCTTATCTGCTATGATGCTTGTCAACTTAGCATTTTCCATCTTTTATTTGATGCAGTCATTTGGTTCTGAACTTATATTTTTCTGCCTTTTGGTGAAATCAATTTGTATTCCCAGGTTAAATACTCGTGATGACAATTATACTGCCTGTGGTAGTCCAGTGACAAAAGGGAAGGCTTCAAGGAATCCACGTAATGGTGCTGTGGTGGCAGCTAGCTCAGCCCCAAGTACGCCTCGTGTTTCTGGAACATCGGAAACATGGGAGAATGTGACAAGTGGAAGCAAAATCCCTTCAACTGGTGGAGCTAGCAATCGCAAGCGTTCTATGCCCTCAGCTTCATCTTCTCCCTCCATGGCTCAGTGGGTTGGTCAGAGGCCACAAAAAATGTCTCGAACAAGGAGAGCAAATCTGGTGTCTCCTGTCTCAAATCAAGAAGAAAAACAGTTATCATCTGACAGTTGTTCACACTCTGATATGAGTGTTAGATTGGCCTCCGATGGGACCAATGGTTCCCTTATATCCAAATATGGTACCAGTGGTCCCCAACAGCAAAAAGCTAAACTAGAGCATGCTCAATCTCCACATCGGTTGTCTGAAAGTGAAGAATCTGTTGGCGGTGAAAGCAGATTGAAGGATGGTGAAAGCAGATTGAAGGACAAAGGAAAGGGAAATAGTGATGCAGATGCAAATGATGGTCAGRATGTGGGGCCTTTARCACTTGGAGTGAAGATCAAGCCTRTTATAAATGAAGAAAATGGTGAGGGTGTGCGGAGACAAGGGCGCAGTGGAAGAGGCCCTTTAATTGCAAGAGCTAGCTCTTCACCGGCCGGGGAGAAGTTGGATAATACAGCCACACCAAAGCCACTTCGAAGTAATAGGCCTGGTTGTGAGAAGAATGGAAGGTGCTAGATTCTATGTATTTGGAAATAGCTCATACTTTTTCATTTGATTCTTTTTGGTTTATTCATGAACAATGCCTTTGTTTGCCAGTAAGTTAGGTCGTCCTTTGAAGAAGCTCTCAGACCGCAAGGGCTTTTCACGTCTTGGCCATTTGCAGAACAATGGTTCTGATTGCACAGGTATAGTGCTATAAAACTTGAAAATATAAGCTTTTTATGAAACTAATTATCAAATGATCATAGCTCTACTCCATGGTAGCCACTAGTATTTCTTCGTCCTTCCTTTCTCTTTGAGTTTACATAACTCTCTGTTTGCTCACACTATGCAGAGTATATCTCAAAGGTTGCAAGAAATTACAAGATTTGATAACACCCACAACTAACTAACTAAGAGGATAACGTGTTAAGAGTTGACTTTTATGTTGGCTTGGACCAACACTAACATATTTGTTATATGATGATCCAGGGAAATCTGATGATGACCGTGAAGAACTGTTAGCAGCCGCAAATCATGCTCGTAATGCTAGCTGTAAGGCATTACATTTTTTTCCGTCTATTTATTGTTTTTGGTACAGAAGTATATTACATTCAAGCTCTGCATTTTAGTCTCTAGTACATTTTTGTTTGACTGTTCCTGTAGATCTAGCATGTTCAAGCATTTTCTGGAAAAAAATGGAACCAATATTTGCTTCTGTCAGTTCAAAGGACAAGTTCTACTTATCCATGCAGGTGGGAACTGTTTTTAACATGTTTAAACTATTTTACACATGAGTGGCCACATTTTACATACTCAATATCCGTTCTGGACTTTTAACTTTTCAATCACTTGTGATGCTCTTTGAAACAGCTAAAACCTGAGCAGGATATTCAGGAAAGCATTCCTCAGTTGCATGGTCGTGAAATTAATTTTGCGGTATTTCTTTAAGCCTGAAATCTAGATATGTTCTACTCCTTCCTTCCCAAAATGAATGCCAGAATTTCCATTTTTGGTGGCCTCAAAATAAGTGCAACATTTTCTTGTTCAGTGAGATTATGGTCCAAGTTTATCTCTTTGCCTGTTAGCAATTGTTACGAGATATTATTGTCATCGATTTTGATCCCTCGTTTGCTGTCTCAGGTGAACCTTCCGCATGCAGCCTCTGTATATAACACACATTCTTCTGGAGAAAGAAACGTGCATGTAAAACACCAGGGAAGTGAATCTTTTTCTGGGAGACTTGATTCCGATAAAACATCTAGAGAATTCATTCCATTGTTCCAGAGAGTATTATCAGCACTAATTATAGAAGACAACATCGATGAACTTGAAGAAGATACAGGAAATATACCACTCCAGGATGCTTTTTGTGATTCCGCTTATGATACATTTCACCTCGATGACTACGACCCTAGAAAGAGGGCTAGGAGGGAAATTGAACGTGATACGGTGTTTGGGGTTCATGCTCAAAGCATACATTCTGTGAAGGTGTCTTTTTCTAGCAATGGATCATGTACCAACTCTTTTAGAAGCCCTAGCATTAACGATTCTCCATGTGAAGATGTGCGTTCACAAGTTGAGCTATTGGCTGGGATCTCAAATAATTTCCATGACAGGCCACGAGTATTCCAGATGGAAAGTTTTGGCATTTCTTCATTTGATAGTCACTACGAACAAATGTGTCTAGATGACAAACTTCTTTTGGAGCTCCAGAGCATAGGTCTATATCCAGACTCAGTGGTAGGCTCAGTGTCTCTTAATATCCTTTTTTGAAATTGTTTTGGTTAACTTACAATAAAGCTCACAAAAGTGATCACTCTTAAACTTGACAATTATATTAAACTTAACTGTTTGGTGGTGAGCTTGGATGACTGAATTAAGTGCACTCCGTGTTGGATCGGATCTAACTTCCTTTTCTTTATTCTAACTCTTTCTTTCTTGCCTTCTGACAGCCTAACTTGGATGACAAGGAGGATGAAGCAATCAAGCAAGAAATCAACCAGCTGAAGACAAGACTCCGACAACAGGTTATCTGGCGAGACCACTAATTAGCATTGTCTCTGTTTGTTCATGACTCTTATAAGCTTCAGCTTAATTAAGCATTCCATATGATCACCAGACTTTAACATGCTTTAATTTCTTTCCTTTATTATGCAGAATGGTAAAAAGAAGGCATACTTGGAGAAAATATGTAAAAGGGTTGGAAGCTGTTCTTTAAGGCGGTAGGAACTTTAGACTTCATATGCGGGTTCTCTTATTGTTACCCTAGGCCAGTTGCATTATTTGTACAAATATAAACATCATCTGGTTGTTATGCAGAGATCTTGAGCAGGTTGCCATAGATAGATTGGTGGAGCTTGCCTACAGAAAACTTCTGGCAAGTTTTTTAGCCTCTTCCTCGGTCTCTTCCACTTTCTTAATAGTTAACTAAATCTCTCTACTTGCTTGAAAACATGAGCATATATGACAACAAAATGTTATAATAAAGAAGCAACCCATTGAATGTGACTGTCAGAATATCTCTGAATTTTTGGTACACTTCGTTGATAAACAATTTATTTTACCTTATTTGAGCCTGTGGACACTGTTACACACTACGAATCAGATCAATTTTCAAACCTGAATATTTTGTTGCTAAGTCTTCGTCGGTTCTATTGTCACCTGTATATGTTAGCAGGCTACTAGAGGAGCTGCTAGAGCTGGGATTCCTAAGGTACCGAAGCAAGTTGCATTGGCTTTTGGAAGGAGGACTCTTGCTAGATGTCGAAAATTTGCAAAATCAGGTGTAAGTTGCTTCAATGTGCCTCCCCTTCGAGATATCCTTTTTGCTCCACGGGAAATTGAATTGGAGCCTACAGCTTCTGTTGCCGGGCCAGTTACTAACACCACCACCAAGTATCTGGGATTCCATAACCCCCACCAAGATTCAAGGCTATCATCGGGTAAGTAATACCCTAGTAATTGGTTTTGTTTCACTTAAAGAATTCTTACCCGTTAAGCAGTTTTGAATGATTTGCCAATTTGATGAACAATAATCGCATTTAAACAATTTGACTAATATTTGTTACAAAACTAACTACAAAACATAGGTGTCGAAATGCTTATCAGTTATGCCAGAATGCTTATGCTTATCTTTTGACTATTATATTTCATGCCCAAAATTTCTCCGTAATCGGTTATTGATGTATTTGTCAATTCGCGAACGTCAACCTATAGTGCATTTGTTTTTTTGGTAATTAGTAGCCATTTTGCTTGACTGTTCGATATAGACATAAATATATTTGTTAATTGGGTTCATTTCTTGTTTGAAAATTCTCTTTATGTGTAGATGAGGCTTTTGCCATAAATGGACCAATATCAAACAGAGGGAGGAAGAAAGAACTGTTGCTCGATGATGTTGGCACCGTTTTGGGTGGGACAACCGGAAAGAGATACGAGCGGGATGTTGCCAAAGCTGGATATGCATACCACGGTGAGAGGAAAACTAAACCAAAACCAAAACAAAAATTGTCTCAACCACCGGCATCCGGGAACGGATACGTTAACCAATTCCCGAGAACATTACATCCTGTTCAGCCTTCACCAAACGGACCTAATCATAATAACGGTGACAATAGAAGGGACGTGCGACACAGTCGTGGCCCACAAGAAACGTCGAAAGAGAGTACGGAAATCATCAACTCCACAAATTTATCGCTTCAAGATTTGGACCCGATGGATGAATTAGGCGTAGGCACAGACCTTGGCGGTCCACAGGATCTGAGTTCGTTGCTTAACTTTGACGAAGAGGAGTTGCAAGACCATTATTCAGCAGGACTTGAAATACCGATGGATGATCTTTCAGAACTGAATATGTTCTGATATTGTTTTCGAAGGTATTAACCGATAAAAGCGTGACGAAATTGTTTTTCTTTGAAAAATGTATATTTATTGTGGATTATTTGGACTAATACAAGAAAAGTAAGATATGCCATGTAACCTCCATTTGTAATTATGGTATGTTTATTTTACGTAGTTTCATGTTGTAAAAACAATGGTCATCTCTGAAAAGTATTTCTATTTTTGAAAACGAACTGGTCAAGATTTAATGTCTTGATGCTCTCCCTAGTTTCTTTCTTGTTTTCTTGTTTAGAGATAAAGATTTAGGGGTTGCTTTATCAAATGCTTACTGGGTGAGTACTTGCTCAATCAAAAGCCATAAAAACCAAGATCATAAAATCGATTTTGATTTTATAAAAGCAAGAAAATGCCCCCTATTTCGTTAAAGGAATGGACTAAATGATGGGGGATTTGTTTCAACCACTCATATGCCTCTATGTTCAAGCTTTTCAAGTCTTCCATGGCCTTTTCAAGATGTAGTATAGTAGTAGTTGTTGCACACTTCCAAAGATGGTCTTTGAATGCCTTTCCATTCCATAGTTGTGTCATATTTTTATGTACGTCCAACAATCAATATCTGTGCTCGGCGCAAGGAAATACCTTTGCAATTGTTGGTATGGTTCCCTACATTTGCAAAATAGAACACATTAGCAAGGTAGAAACACAACTCGAAGGGCTTTCATTAAGCATAACTGGTAAACATACATTTTGTCTGCCACTAATGGAAGTGAAATTGGAATTAGGAGACAAATCCGAATCTCTCCAAGGCATTCTAAAAACCATGACCATGAACCAGTTGTTTCAAATGGCATAGGCTTGCGGATATGTACCATGGTTCAAATCAATTCCAACTGCAATCAATATTTTCCTGCAAATGGTCTCTCCATGAACACTCCATCTACCCCGAGCAAGTCTCTCAAACCAGCCTTAAAACCCTTCTTTAATTCCCCTAGACAGATGTATATTCTCTTTGAACTTTCTTCTTCATAAAGAATTAGATTCAATTTTCATTTCCAACTTCACGGTGGTATCTGGGTTGGTTCTTTGAAGCTCACATAAGTAGTCCCTTAGAACAGTGTATTCACTTGCACAATCTCCTCTTATCTTATTGGCTTGCATAATCTCCTCTTAAAACTCACATACGTAATCCCTTGAAACACTTGCATAATCCCCTCTTAGCTTATCGCCTTGCATAATCACACTTGTAACCTGATGTTGAGAATTGGGTTCGACAATCCGTAACAATCTTGTATCCCCAGAAGTAGTGGCATCAACTACTTCATATGGGTGAAGATTTAAATGAGAATGAAGTTGATAATCTTTCAAATCTTTCTCTTCTTCTAACAACTTACTTACAAAATACAATCAATATCCAAAGAAAACCTATAAAATTTTCAAAGAGAAACATGAATGAATAATTTTGTATCAACTTTCCATTTGAAACAGAAGCACCCAAATCTAAAAACGTTGGTATCAAATTTCAACCGTATCAACTTTCCATGGGAAATAGGAAAATCAAAGAGTAACTTCAACTTTTCAAGGTGAAATAAGAGAACTCAATTTCAAACCCCACGTTGTTGCTTCATTAATTTTTAGGTGTTCTTCCAATCTAAAACAAGCATACACAGCTTGGACACGAAAGAATGGGGATACTTTACCTAAATGATCATACCGCCAATGTGCAGAATCGTGCGATTGGAGTGCGATCGTCTTCTTACCAACCCAAATAATGTTGTAGTTATCAGATGCAAACCTCTTTCTAGTCCACAATCTCCATTTGCGGGCAAAGTTGGAGAGATTTGTATGGAGAAATGGCAGAAGACGGAGAGCTGTGAGATTTGCGGAGACAAAAAGTTCAAAGCACTTTGTACAAAAGACGTTTGGTTTTCCCACCTAGATTGGTAAATTTCAACTTACACCCCTCAAATATATCGAAATTATCATCTAGACCCCCAATTAATAAACCGGTTATTTTAGGTTCTCAAGTCATCTTTTAGTAACACATTATTTGTCAAACATAAGTTAGCTTATTTTTTTAGTACACATTTGAGTAGACATAAGTTACCTTATTGAAACGTTCAGGGACGGATTCAACATTAAAAAGGTGGGGGTATAGGCCATGTTTGAACTTCTTTTTTTCTTTTAACTTTCTACCATAGTTCTCCCAGTGATTTCTTGCTTGTGCCACCACCAATCAAAAAAGTACCTCGAAATCAATCAAAAAACTTTAATATCTATTGAAACAGTGGAATTAGGCTAAAAACACATCAAACGACTTTACAGACCTTTAATCTACCTTAGAGGTGCCCCACTAGGCAAAAATTCTAGATCCGCCACCAATAATGTTTACAAAATTATATATCTACCCATTAATTACATTCTGGTATAAAATAAACAAGGATGCATTTGTAATGTCATATTAATAAGGCTTACCACTCGTCTTATATTTGAATATGCCGTAACGAGTAATGAGAAACATCATTTATCTATATATTTTATCCGTTAAAATGTGGGATTCACCTGATACAAATTTAGCGTTACCAATTGGAGAAGATTTAATGTTTACACCTACTTTGCGTCGATTTTTATGGACTTGGTGTTACACATCGAAGATGCACTACGGGAAAAGGGAACAAAGTTCTTCAACTGTTCTTGTAACAAACCTCGGATTCGGAAGATGAAAACCTAGGTTGTAAAGATCGTCATCAACGTTGGTCAATTTGAGCGTTTTCTTGAAATTTGTGGTGGCAATTCTTGGGTGACCCCTAGCAATGGCAACCTACATAATGCAACAAGTCATTTGAATTCCCAAATAGGTAATACATCTAAAAGTAGCATTCAATAAACACAATTGTGGTCAGGTGGTAATATATATGTAAATGGTCTTAATTTGTGATCTTTTCTAGAAAAAAACGAATTTTCTACAAATTTCATCGGACATCCTGAAAGAAGATCATTAATGTTTTTTAGGAAACAATTGGTTTTCAAGTCAGCTTACGCGTATCGACTGCTCATTAACTGTCAAGGTAGTTAGTGAAGGATGAGTTGAAGGGACTACTAACCCGATGTTTTCCTTCAAGTTCAAAAAGCCAGAAATTCCAGTCCTTTAACGCACCTCCATCTACTTTGACATATATATCGGTCCAGTTTTTGTGATGAAACTCCACATGATCTAATTTATACCCAACTCCTGTACCTAACGCCTTGACGAATGCTTCCTTTAAACACCAATACCTGTTTATAATATGCTAGTTGAGTCTAATAACCGTGGTTCGTATAGTTTCAAATGAAATATATAAATTTAAATAAAATCAGTTTCACCTGAAAAACACATCCAGGACATCATCATCAGAACCAGCTTTGACAATCTTTTCCCACTCTGAGCTTGAAAAGTATGAGGAGAAATTGTGAATGAACTCAGAAATTGTTTCTTTCACTGGAATTAAGCAAGATACAATGTCCAAACCAACAAGGCAAATCGGTTCAGAAGCTATAGCTACATAGTCGCCATGATGTGAAACATTAAAGTTGAAATTTGGAAATTTCACATTCTTCTTATGGCTTTCCTATAAGATATAAGCAAGCACACCATCATAATAGGTAGTAATCGGAACTACAAAAGCTATCTCAAGGTCTCTGTGAGCATAAAGATGACTTGCACCTTGTAAAAAACAATATATGCTACAAGTAGGAAAAAGAAAAGAACTTTTTGAGGTTCACTAAGAATGGGAAAAACACCCTTTTAGCTGCAAAAATCTTACAGTTTGATAGAAATAGACACTGAAATTAGATTACACATCTAAATTGGCCATCAAGAAGGAAGAATTTGCTGATCAGCCAGTATGCACCATGAAGATTAAATTCTACTGCTAAAACTGATAGGGGGGGGGGGGGAACTAAATACAGTAGTTCTGGTTATAAGAGCCTCGAGAACAGGACGGTGAAACACTATAATAACCATATTCTAGTTTGACCAATATCATGGCTTCAATCAAAAGAGCCATCTCATATCTCACTTTAATGTTTAGTTGCTTGAACTAGTTCATTATGAACATTTAAAGTGCAGCCAATAATTGATTGTATGATGGTTTGGCGTTCAGCTTATATGATAGCAAACTGCATATGTCCATAACTTGTATTCTCACAAGATACCCATTCATACAAGAATAATATATACTTGCAGTTTGTGTAGCTCTATATGAATCAGTGATGATGAGTGACCACGGACTAAAACATAATAATCAATCATTCAATGTCTAAATAAAGCTCAGATTAAGTACAAGAACAGCATTAAAAACAACAAAAGAGCTACTAATCATTGCCAAATATCAATCTAGAATTTGTTTTTGAGATCAATCTCCAAACCTGGAGTACTCAAATTCTACTGTAGGGATTCTGTACCCAAATTTCCAGTCAACATAATTTTAATGGTGGTACTCTTTCTGAAGTATAATGCAGTCATCAAATTGATCTAAATTCTTAAAAGTCACATCAATGTTGAAGTTGAAAATTAGCTAGGATTTACATCAAGATTCAAAGTGCATCATGTCTTTTGTTGGAATGGATGGAATAATTCATAGAAGTTGCTAATTGAAGAAGTGGTTCCTTGATGCCATCACTCAAATTGAGTCGAATAGAAATTGGTACCAGATAAGGTTTGCCCTCAGCAGTGCGATTAATGATAATTTCATCAAATGGAATCCCCATAACTTGATGTACAAGTGCATACTGCAACAGCCGGCTAACAAGTGCCCTCTTTCGGTCTTCAATTTTCACAAACCTAAATAATTTCATTCCATCGCCACTATTCATGAAGAGTTTCTCCAAATATAGTGGTAATTATAATAATAGAGAGATGGATTATATTACCTTGTGATAGAAGAGTGGTGTTGTTGGGGTAGAACAGACATGGCGATGGAGAAGTCATGGGGGGATGGATCCCACTGTGATGTGTTGACTAACCATCTCTGCACTCCCTTTTCCATCTCTATTTCCATGACACGGAGAAGGAGAAGGAGAAGGAGAAGGAGAAGGAGAAGGAGAAGTTGACGATGAAGATGATTAACATATTTTTGTCAAACTTCATTTCTCTAGTTGAAAGAAAGATGGATAATTTGTATCGGTTAATTTAATTGAGAGTTAAATAAAATTATAAACATATAAAATATGTTATTAGAAAAAGAGTAAATCACATTCATGGTTCCTGTAGTTTTTGTGTTTTAACACTTTGGGTTTTTATTTTAAAATATTTAAGAATTATATTTTTGTAATTTGTATTTTATAACATATTGGATCTCTAAATCTAACTCCATCCAAAAAATTATGTTAACTCAGTTAGTTTAGAAGGGTATTTTAATATTTTAATTTATATTAAAACAACAAGAAACAAATCCAGATAACATAGAGTCGGAACAACGAGTGAGAGAGATGAAACAGACGATCAATATAAAGATGAAACAAACCCTTTCCCATCTAAAACGAGTTCGTCAAAGTCCACATCAAGCCTGATTCGAATTAGTTCGTAGAAGGCCACTTCTGAAAAGCGAGTCACCTCCGTTCCGAGCAGGGGTTCTCTGATGTCCAGGGAATAGGGGTGTCAATCATCCGAGTAGCTGAAGTATTGATGTACTCCACTCAAAAACTGTGAGCAGTTAAAAACTATACTTAATTCAAACTCGATTGTAATTTTATAAAATTGAACTTGAGCTCAAACTAATTTAAACTCAAAACAAGCTCAAACTCGAACTTAAATCAAGCTCGAACAAAAGTCATCTATTGAAATTTATAAAATTTTAGTGTTTTTCTCTTATAAAATATAAAATTTATGGGTGTTCTCTCAAACTTCATAAAAAATAAAGGAGTGCACCTTAGAGTTCATCATTAAAAATACAAAGTTACAAACTCTATCCACATTCCTCTATTTTTATAACACTTCTTCACCATTCCTTTACCATCTCTCTCCGACGTGGGACTAACTTGATCAAAACTTTATAGTTTTTTGATCTTTTTTAGTTATGATTTTAATAAAAAATGATTAGTTTTTATGGTTAAAAAAAATGCACAATTTTATTCAAATATCTAAAAATGTAAGACATGTTCACTAATATTTTACAAATTACTAGTTGTGTGCCCGCGCAATGCAGCGGGATGTAAAATTCGTATAAATGTAAATGAAAAGTTGCATGATATCATTCGGAACGACACTATGTAAAGCTGGTTCCAAGTAACCGAATGATATTAACCAAAAGAAGTTGATTGCTTGAATGATTATACCAGACCATGGAGAGGTAAAAGTCAAAACATGCATTATGTTATCACTGGACAATTTAGAACCATCTGATGGATAAAAAAGTAACACAGAGCCTCTTTGGCATTAATTATAAGCACAAATAAACAATTCCAATAATTTCCCATACCTATCGGCAACATATTGAAGAATCTCATCACCAAAAGAAGGTATGGTGATATCAATCAATTGGCCTTGGCTTCTATCCACAGCATGCTTATACATGGCAACGTCCTTATGCATGTACCATTTATACCGATTATCCATACAAATAACCCTCCACATAGAAGGATCATTGCAGATTTTTCGCCAAGTAGTGCACACTTTCTGGGCATTCTCAAGTATGTCAAGCACGTCAAGTCTGGAAAGTATATTGGACATTACATCTGATGGAAGATCCAACCAGTTCCTTCTTGGTTGTTCCACCTGCCATGGCTGCTTGGGTTCTGGAATGAACTCGACCTTCTTGGGTTTTCGACAATACGATTTTGATGTGGATGGCATCATCACTTTTGCATGTACAAAACAATCATAATTTTAGACCAAGCCATTTTACATATATTAAAAGATTTGTTAATGTATTTAAAATGAATGACCATTCAGTGATACAGGGGTAAATGAACCGAAATGCTATATCAAACCTGAAGATCAAATTTTCCGGAAACACAATTGCAGGACGCATTCGTAATTACCAATAACAAGAACATGAATTTGAGTTGRCATAGCAAARTGGACAATCAAATTTCACTRTAACATCATCACTAWTCAAACACTTTCTTACACCTTTTCATACATCAAAGAGAATAGAGACTGTTTAGATGCTCCCTATTGGAATTGTCTTCTCCAATGATCACAAAAATGCTTATTCCTACATTTAAAAAATCCAAGTGTTTATGGTTGTGAAACTTGACTTCTGGGAGTAATCCAGAGTAACTTACACATGATTTTTCAAATATTTACTACGTCAAGAGCATATTTCAAGCAACACAAATATTTACTACGTCAAATATTTATCAAGTCACATTACCTTACCGGATAAATATGGTAAATATCAAGAATCTTACCGGTAAGAGCGAGACAAGGACCAAGTCTTACCCAGTAAGTGAGAGCGACGACTCTAAACATGGTAAACACTTACCGGGTAAATTGTTGCATACGATACCGTTTTGGTGGACTAAAATCATACCCGGTAAGTAAATGATAATGTTGAACTTTATCGGTAAGCATTTACCGGATAATTATTTGGTAAACGTCCTCTAAAAATCCATAAGTTTGGTAAATAGTCCTGAAACACTTTGCATAGAATAACCAAAGATTGAGATTACAAGCCCTTGTACCTTAGGAATGGATGGTAATATGAATTTTTGCATCAACAATTGCAGCCTATATCTTTTTTTGGTCACAAGATCTATAAGAGATTGTAATCCATGCATTCCATATATCTTCCTAAACGCAAATATAAACTTTTAGTTCAAAAACAAAGTAAATTGATTAATTTCACATTCCATGAATTGATAATCATGGCTTATGATCCGGCAAGAAGCATGAACTGAGTTTGGTAAACATCAAATACAATTAGATCCAAAATCAATCCAAACAACATCTTAAAAATTAGTGACAAATAAACCATGACGAACCAAGTAACGACTTGTTTGAATTTTAAAGAACTGATGAGTTGGGTAAACATCAGGTACAATGTCATTATTTATATATATATATATATATATATTTATATATATATATATATATACATATTGGAGATGACAATTAGCACAACAACTAATATCTTATGTCTAGTAGTCATTGGAAGAAGGACTCTTCTATCATCAATAGCATCTCAATGAATCACGTATCGAGATATACAACTTTGTGACAACTAATATCTTTGTGACAACAAACATATGTACTTGTCAGGTTTACCTTTAATATTTCTTTTGATTCTTTGTGGATGTATACAGTTGATCATATGAACTCTTGTTTAGCAAGTCTCAGATCCTGAAATACGTTATGTGCCTTGTAGTCTCGCACCTATCATGTTCAGTTGAGGTAAAAAGATGAYGATGAGATAAAGATAAAAGGCATACYGRGGCTCTGAAGTGAGATCRKATTCCTAATATAGAGCTCTGTATGATATATGCGTTTATACACTCTTTACMCACAWTATAAGTTGCCTGAAAGAAAATAAAATTTTCAAGCTCCRTATGGAAAAAAATTAGAAAAAGCACAAGCTTAATTTACCTTCAAAATGGAATTACTCCTCGAGTTATTATGAGTTCCATATGCTAAATGTGCCTGCAAGAAACAAAATGTGATAGAAACTTGTATTTTAATGTTTGCATGTTGAGGCTAATTCACCTACATGCATCACCAAAGCATTATGCAGTTTGATCCAAAACACAAGCTTCTGTTCACGCTTCATTTTTCCAGGGTCAATCTTGTCAAGATTCTTTATCAGTGTTCTACAAAGTCAAAAAAAAAAAAATTTCAAGTAAACGGGGGAACTAACCAATTGAAAGATATCAAGTAATAATAATTTCAGATACCTGAAATGTTTTAGCATCTTCTCCGCATAATTGAAACCATCATCATCTAGGCCTATTTTCAGGACTTCTACCATATCGGCATATGGTCCCCTTTCATCTTTCAAGCCATCATACTTACTGCCCTCGTTGCAAAACGGACTCCATGTATCAGAAATATTTCTAGTAGAAACTGTACTGCAGGAAGACAGGGATGAAGCAGAAGATTCTGAAGGTCCCTGATGACATTGAAGTAAACAAGGTAATCAAACTTGATGTAACTTAAGTTCAACAACGAAGTTGTTATYTGTGGGATCGAAAGTGTAGGATATGACGGGATCAGACACGAGACCAACATGAAGCTGTTAATAGTGGGATCAAAAGCTGTTACCTTTGGGGGGTTTTCTTTACCATTTTTCTCTTGGTTTTTCTTTTCTAAAGTCTAATGGAAGAGCCAGGTGATGGAGTCCCGTTTGAAAAAAGTTGTCGATGCCAAACCTTCATTTATTCATTCTTCTACCTGTGAGAAATTAAATTCAAKTATAAGAGGYCGTMTGAGAATTTTACTCAATCTGCAAAYGCCTCAACGTGGTCCTTATAYTTCAAATATARTACAATTAGCAAAGTAAGTGGCTAGAAAATGTATTTTATGCATGCAAGAGACTTGATATAAATAGATATAATTACCAAATGCACAACCAAATATGATAACGACCTGCATCCAACAACATTTCCATATTGTAAATTGTTAATCAAATGGATCCTAGCAAGGTAATCAAAGAGAGCACAACCATACAACAAAATGAATAACATATAGTACAGAGACTTCCATAATTCTCCATCTATAACTACACATGACTTATACATATTATATATCTATACTATCTTATAAAGCAAATTTAGCAAAAGTCTTAAAGTCTTAAAATACTAAATGACCAAGATACCCTTTATACACTTTTTCACCCCCTCCTTTCCTCACATGCACTCACCTCCTCACATACACTCACCCTCTCACAACCGATTTTTTTTAAAACTATAATTTTAAATTTATACTTTATACCTCTATAATTAGTTAATTAATTTACTTTACGTCGTTTATTTTTAAATATTTCATTTTAAACTTTTATCGAATTAATATACATAATCGTATATCAATTAAAAATGTTTAAAAAATACATCTTTATTTTAACAAGTTACACCATTATAATCGTCTCTTTAATACCTTCGAAATGAGTCCAATATTGAATAGTTTTTGAC